TGTGCAATTAAACTGTGTGTAAGTACACCGCTCCCTCTTGAAATGAGGTGAAAATTACAAAAGTGAGCAGATTCACTCAAATATTTATAATTTAATTGATCAAAGTTCGAAATAATTTAAATAAATTTAAGCATCCTGTGTAACTTAGTTGTACAAAAGTATCTTAACATAATAGAATGATTGAAATAGAAATGGCATTTTATCAAATCCTTGAAATTTGTTCGTGTTATCAAAAAAAGAAATTATTTCGATAAGAGACGTTATTCGTAAAGATATTCGGACTGGACTTTTAAAAATCAAAATTTTCAAAAAAATTTAAATGCCAAAATTTTATTCAGTTTCAATTTAAAATTGTATACCGAACAATTAATTATATTCACGTATAGTCACTCAAAAAAGTTTATAATCGCAGCACTATTACAAACGAACAAAAAATAGGATAAATTACGCGCAATGGAATAATATATATCTTGCGGTCCATTTATTAAAAATATGCAGTAACTTCACATCGTGTATTCCATTACTTTCAGTTACAGTAGAATATGACACAATAATATAATATAATATTGTTCTCTATCTACGCAGGCTATCCTCGAGACGCTTCTATAGCATATAACTTTCAAAATATATAATGTACGTTATCCTGTGTTCATCGTTTACAAAAGACTAGATTTATTCTCTTTAGATATTTCTCGGTATAATTTCGATTTTCTAACTAGAATCATGGACTTTCTTCCTAATTGTAAGATATTTTTTATTCTTTTGGTCGGTTATTCGTAGATGTGCCGCAAACTCTTGCGGAAATTTGCATCGGAAATTATTTACGATATATGGCACACCACGCTTTGGCGCGTTTCATACTCATATGGCTTACGTGGTAGAGATTTTTATTAAGTGAAGAGAATCGTACTTGCAATGTAATATAAACACGAAACACAGTGTCAATCGCAATAATAAATTCACATAGAGTGCACAGACTACATACTACATAGCGGTTTTATAATTTTTTTTATTTGTATCAAGGATCTTTAAATATCATTCAAGACAAGATCGATTTCAAAATAAAAAAATCAGCAAGTGAGAGAGAGAGAGAGAGAGAGAATACACAAAGTATACGAATGCATAACTATTATATCCAATATTCATAGTCCATTTTTATTACAACATCGACTTAATTAATGTCCTAAGACATTAATACACGTGCTCTCTGATTGATTCGTAAATATAAGAATCGACTATGAATATTGACTTATATATATAGGTATAATTTTAAAATTTCTTAAATGTAATTTTTGGCGAAAATTTCTTCGAAAACATGAACAAGGATCAGTACTACCTATTTGCTCCAAAATTTATATATAAAGATCCTTATTGAAACGTGTTGTATTGTATGTCGAAGATGGCAAACTAAATTATATATAAATGACAAGCTTTTAACCACAGCGCAAACTTTTGCAACTTCGCTAATGTGAAATATCGAAAATTAATTTTATCTTTCGTATACATATTTAATGAGCGTAAGAATAATATCAGGCTCAATATGTACGGGATATTGCAAAATTATATCAAGTTACATGTGAAAAGTGAATTTATTATAATTGGCAAGATAATTGACAAACTTTTTGCCTCAATTCTAATATTTTCCACTCGTAATAAATACTGTTTTTATGAATATCTTTTAAAATATATTTTTTTAAAATTTATCTTTGACCTCTTTCTATTCAAACACACATTTAAAGACTATAATTCAAATTATAAAAATTTTTTCTAATTACAGAACACAATTGCTTTTATCTTTTCATTTTTGTATAATAATATATAATTATTCTTTGGAAAACTTTAATACACTTGAAAATATATGTTTGAACTGAAAAGATAAAAAGAAACTAATACTTGTTGCCTATATCAATTTTTTTGAAGAAAAGAACAATGTATAAAAAACGAAATATTAACCATTAACATTCTGCATTTTGATATAAATATTCCATGGACATATTTTGTGATTTTCTGCAACAAGTTGATTTCCCTCTCCCTCTCCTTCTCCCTCTCTCTCTCTCTCTCTCTCTCTCTCTCTCTCTCTCTCTCTCACGCACGCGACAAATACAATTCTACTACAATAATTGATTAAATTCCGCATCAATCTTGCTTAAAAAATGGCGATAAAATCCGAATCGCTCTTGTATTTGGATATATATATAGTCAACAATTAAAAGATTGCAACACTTTTTCTCAAATTTTTTTCGGAATACAGTTTATTCACAGAGTGATTGGTTCTTACTTATGAAACCATAAATAAAAACCAATCGCTCGGTGAGCAGACTGTATTTTAAAATCCATCGAAAACAAAGCGTTGCAACCTTTTAGTTGCTGATTGTACAAAAGTGAATCAAGCACAATCATATAACGGTATGTTCAAATCGAGCACGTTTTCAGATTACTGTGTACAGACATCACACAATACAGAACACATTGTGCATCGTTGCAATTTTTTTGTAATTTATTTTAATATCAAAGAAAATCTAAACAGATAGAATATCTTTCGCACAAGTACCAAACAAATGGTTTAATATGATCTAATAGAGAAGAACTGCCTACATTTTTTTATAATGCATCGCATAAATGCAATGTATTAACTAGACTCAAACGACGAACACGATCTTTTTCTTAGCTTAACAAGGGCACAGTTAATGCGAAACGTCCTGATAATTGTTACTTAAGCATTATTTTCTCTTTGTGGAAGAGAGGAAGATAAAAAGAGATAGGTGTAGTATTAATAGTATATAGTATATAGAGTGTAAAAGTATTTCATTAGTAAAATATATATAACAAGTTAGTACGTGTCAGCATTAATCAGTTAATGTTCGATTAAAGACATCAATCAATATCTTGTTAATCAACTATTAGAAATATTTTACTTCGGAATGATATCCGACAGAAATGTGCTACGTGATTCGTTATTGTTTGAAAAAAACAGATTGGACGCCTCGCAAGAATCTGATTCTGGCACGATGATTGATAATTATCTTCGATTATAATATGTATACGTGTACGTGTATGTGCGTGTGCGTGTGTGTGTGTGTGTGTGTGTGGTGTGGTATGTGTGAGCCGATTACATCGGATTTGTCAAAATTTCGTAACTATTCTAAATCTGTATATGTATTTGTGTTATGTGCTTTCTCGCATTGACTACTCATCGGAAAAGAAAAGGGTTTCCATTAAACCCTTAAAAAAATAGATTGATATCTAATGATATTTCTTTCATTTCTGAGAGATTACAGAATTTTTATTTCAATTTAACGCTTCAAAAACGATATCGTTTGAAGATCTGTTTAGCTAATTTATGACAGCTATTAGAGTCGGCAATGTATCTTACTGTTAGATAAAATTTCTGCTGGATGATACTAGAATTATCAAGTTTATTCAATCGCTAAATATTCCTTATTGATTATTTTACCTTTTCATCATTATCATCATCATCATCATCATCATCATCATCATCATCATCATCATCATCATCAATTATTATTAATCTCTGAGAGAGACTTTGACTTTTCTTTTTTGTACTGATCTACTACGTTAAGCATTTTGGGAAGACTTTTCGGTCTATAAATTTTATGTCTTAATTTTCCTTCTCAATAACAGCAAATATATAAGTATATTGATGGAGAAATATTATTTATATATGTACACATATATTCTACATGTATAAATAACATTTTCCTCCATTTCATCATTGTATTTTTAATTGTGACATTACTTATTAAATAAAATAATGTCATTAAATGCATAGTGAATGTATAATATTATGTAAATATTTACTTGATGAGCGACACGAATAACAAGTGATAAGAAATGGCGTACTCTACACTAGCATATATATTTTAGTATAGATTTCACATTTCTTATATTTTATATAGATTTATAAGTATGTCGCTTTAATCATAAATTGAAACACATCATTATAGAAAATCGATAAATTTACAGTATAATATAAAAAAAGTAAACATAATTTAACTACCGGTTTTGTAAAAACATTCAAAAGACACAACGAGGTAATACGTGTATATATTAAATCCATAATTCGCATATACATATAGTAATCAATAAGTTACTGTAAAAAATAATATCGAACTTTTATTCAGATCATCCAGTTTTTTCTACTAAGGAATCGATATCGTACAAATTGGCACTTGTTCAGCTTGGAATACCATTATTTTTTGTTTTAATGCTGTGAATTCCGATGCGTGGTCAACCGAGAATATACATCGCGCGCGTCGATGTAAAATACGATCAAGCATTTTCTTTAAATTGCGCTCGCGTGACGCACCTTCCTCGTCTTTTTGTATTTCACGATAATAGAAACTCTTTACGATACTCTATTATACATACGTGACTCTAAATATATACAGCGACTACAGGTGGCAGCAAATCGCACGTCCTGAACCGCGTCAAATGTCTATTTTTTCATTTATTTTTTCTTTTGTTAAATTACTTAATTATGTTGAACACAATGATATCGAAACGCTCTTAATCATATCGATTATATTAAAACTTTGAATTGCGGTACTGATTAGTTGGAGACTGTTCATTGTATTCTGACGAGTCAAGTGGAATGCATAAACTGAGTATTGAGATAGCACAAATAATGATTTTACGAAATTTGAATCTTGTTTCAAATAATTTAATTTCCTCTCTTTCTCTAGCGTAAAAATTCGTCACAATACAGTAATTGTTGTACAATTAAAAAGGAAATAATTATATGTATATTGACGTAATTATTGGCAAGTCAAAGTAAAATAAAGATAAGTAGAGGATACAATTTTTTTCATAAGACGTTCATTTTAAATCATCAAGAAAATTGAAAAATGTCTCTTCAGTCACCTTTGATGTTTATATTTATATCTAAAATCGTCTCTTTCTCGGTTTACTACGAATTACAAGACAAGATATATATATATACGTTTTCTAAAAGCTATTTAAACAAGAGTATAATTTGTCTGTTATAATTTGTCGAAAAATATTTTACAAAATATCACGATTGTGGAAGAAGCAGAATGGATTTTTGTCTCGGCAGTGATTTATTAGGCTTATTTCCCATTTGATGTATTCGTTATCAATTTTATATGTCGTAATTATTCACGTATAATTTATCCAGATGCCAGTGATTTTCTTTTCAATTTCTCATCATTTTTTTCTTTCTGTTTTTTTCAATTTACTTCGTGTTGTGACAGCGAATATGTTCCTTGTATGCAGTAAAATACGTGGTACTTGATAAATATTTATATCTATGGAAACGATTGATTGAACTTTGTTTACTGAAATCTCAATTCGTTTTAGTAAATAAAAAATACACGTGGTATATATCTTTTACTGTGTAATTGTCGCATCACTTTATGCATTCCAGTAGCAAGCAGTCATATTTGCAATCTTAATCGCTTCTATCCTTAGGCACGGCCATGGGCAGTGCTTCTTTTCACAAATTTCGAAAACGATCAATATTTAATTAGAACAATAAAATATATTAAAACTTTGGGAGGATTGTCGCGATTTTTGTGTTATGTGTGAATGTAATTTTCATGTAACCAATTTGTAATTCAAGATTGCGTTAATCGCTCATCCCTCAAGTCACGATTACATCGATATCACATTAATCAAATATAATGTTATCGATGTACACATATAGTATCGTGTTTAAAATAAAGAACGTATGAGTACGACGCGAGTAAATCTAGATTTATTCGCGCGATAAGGGATAAAAAAAAGCGTGTCTGCGCGACGCTGCTTCGAGTGGACTTGAGGTAGAGCAAAATTCGAGAAAGAGGAAAAAGCGAAGAGTGTGTTGTCGATAGATGACAGAGTAGCAGAGAAACCTTTGGCAGTATAGATTTTGCCCTTTTTTCAAATCTGTTCCAAATTTATTCATCTAGTCGCCGTCCTTGGATTCACATCGCTTGGCATTACTTTGCGCCTGGTATTTTTCCTAATACCTGCACATAGAACAACATCAGTTACATTAACGCGGATTGTTCATTAATACTTAAACGTATAACAAGCATCGTTTTAAGTCACGCACTTGTCACGCATTCCGCCCTATATTTACTACACTGAGACAAAAAGGAAAAAAATAAGTTTTTAATACTTGACTTTAGAACATACTTTGGAAAGATCTACCCCAGTCAGCGCTTGTACAGCTGGAGGTACTTGCCCAACAAGACGCGTAAGTTCTCCACTGGTCGCATCGTTTCCACCAAGAAGTACAATTTCTTCCGTTCTCGCTAACGGTGCTGCGACTTCGGCTGCGATCTGTACAAAGAGAAAAACGTTATTATTACAATACTAACATACAACATTAACACTACAATATGTAAACGTAATGCATAACGCATCGTTCACCTTCGGCAAGGCATTCAGAGTGATGTTAAGTATTGCCGCATCGCCGTATTTTTTATAAACTGTTGCTTTCATTCGCATGCGTTCGGCCTCCGATATACCGACAGCTTCTAAAGCGTGAGCCTCGGCCTCTCCGATCAATCGAATTTTCTCAGCTTCGGCTTTTGCTACGCTTACAGTTTGAGTTCTGTAAATGAATGGTATTGAAACAAGTTATGTCAAACAAAAATTATAAAATACATCTCGTGTTTCGCGAAAATTTTACCTTTTTCCCTCGGCGATTCTTCCCATTTTATAAAATTCAGCTTCGGCTGGTAAACGCACTGTGCTCTGGAGCTCATGTTCCTTTCGACGGACCTCTTGTTCCTCAACTTCAATTTGCTTGCGCCTTTCCACGACTTCTATCTGTATTTCCTCGTTTCGTATCCGCTGTTTTATCTTTGCTGCTTGAAGCTCATAAGCTAATTGGGCCTCGGCTTTCTGAAAAAGTAGAATAAAGTATAGATATACGTAAATAGTACTTTGAGAATAACTTTGTTGGAAATATTGATCGCTCGCGTATTTCGCAAAGAATAAACTTACCGCTGTATTTACTTCTTGATCGAAATTAGCCTTCTGCAATTGGTAGAGTCTCGCGTTGTCCTCTATCTTCGTGTCGGTATTATATTTTATGTCCATCGCCGATTTTTCACATTCCGCTTCCTATAAAGCAACGAAAAAAATTATAAAATTGCGTTAACAAGTCGCAAACTCCACAAAACGTCCTGTTAGCGATATTATCTCTTTCTGCAAGTTGAAATCGATTTTCTCTTTCGACGTGAATGTAAAAAAAGTCGCTATTTTGCTGCATTCGTATTCCTCACTTCCATTCTCTCTCTCTCTCTCTCTCTCTCTCTCTCACTCACTCCAAGCTTATTGAAAAACTTTTAATTAAACATCATAATTATATCAAGAATATAAGTATAATTTTTAAGAAATTTATCATTTTTGTATACAGCAACGTATATCGTATAGATCAAAACATACCCTAATACCGGCATCTCGATTTGCTTCAGCGACGCCTACATCAGCGTCTCTTTTAACAGCCGCTGTTTGGGCTTTGCCAAGCGATGTTAAATATTGAACCTCGTCGTAAACATCCTTTATTGTGAACGAAAGAATCTCGATACCCATGCGACCGACATCTGGTGCGGCAACTTCTCGTACAAGAGCCGCAAATTGATCTCGATCCTTATAGACTTCCTCCACAGAAAGTGTTCCTAAGAAAAAAACATTATTTCCTTCCAACAAATTTATACAGAAAAGTAGTTTTAATCCATTTGATGGATCCACTTATTTATTTTTCGCGCAATTATTTAATTTTCTTATCGTGAATTAAATATTTGAGAAAAATTTTTCTCATATCTTACAAATTACGTTATAGGTACACCTTAAAAATAGCAGTGTTTATATAATTCTCACTCTCTGTGTTGGTGTTAACATTAACAATATGATGTGGATTTAGCATTATGCAGATGGGTTTTTAATCCACAGAATTATTTTCTAGAATATACACATTATAGACATTACATTATTAATCGTCTGATTATTCTAATATTAATCTGAAAGCTCTATATAGAATAAGAGCATCAAGACACACAATTATATAAATTAAAATGTTTTTATATTACAATTACGTGGCCTGTTTATGAAAAGGTGTTAATTAACCATAACGAGAAATTGTTTCCAGAAAAAAAATAGACAGTATACCATTAATTTGCTTAATTATAAAATAAAACGTACCCAATATAGCTCGAAGGTGACCTTCTAAGGTGGACAGGATCGTGGACTTAATCTCATGAACACTCTTCCAAGAAACTGTTCACTGGCAGTGTGCAACAATTCGTCGGCTTTCATGATTTTGCACTGTGCCACTCCAGTAACCGTTAACGGTACTCCCTGTGCCGTTTCCACACTCTCGCATACCGGGTTCAGAGTCATCACCTCCAGAGATAACCGTTGTACGTCGGTGACGAACCACCAGGTGAACGCGTATCCACCCACGATGGTCCTCTTCTTCATGGAGCCGCAGCATCCTCCTGGAACGCAAAGATAATTCGTATGAGTGCTACTAATTCTTGCGAGAGAATTTACTTGCGATAAATATAATTTTTAATAAAATATCGTTGATATTCGAGAAATTATTATTATCTTAATATGCCTTGGGATCTTCAAATTTTGTTTGCAGAAATGAATTATTTTTTATGAACAATTGTCGAGAAGAAGGAAATATATCGGTATCTATATTGAAATAAATCAATCTTACGCGCTAGTTAAAATTAACAATAACCCACTTGTATGCAAAACGTACACTACAGTATTATTAGCAAAGATTTCACGCGAGAGATATTGAGTATTAAATATTGAATATTAACATAGATGAAATAATATAATATTTATGATCTTCTTACATATCCCTTACATAGAAATTCAATACTAATACTGGCTAATTTAATTAATCACTTATTTTCAGTATTAAAATTACTGTTAACAATACTTCTAATACTCAACATTTCTAATACTCAACAGTATTAAATTTCTATAAGGAATATATTATTTTATATATTATTTTATATTATTTCAATCAATAATAAATAATTATAAAAGAGGGGAGCGGAGAAAATTCAGGTTAAAAAAAGATTTACTTTCTAGGGTACGTTGATATGGTGTCATTGATTAGTTTATAATTCTGAACGATCGTTAAACGCACACCTAGTATCAGAACAATAAGTAGGTCAGTCTCCATAGCGGACGAGTAATTCTTTACCATAAAGCGGTATTATGAAATTACTCCGATCTATCGGGACATGTCACGTCATCGTGTGCAATTTTGAAATATCTGTCACGTTTCTTTTCACATTACATTATAAACACCGCGAATAGGTAATCTCTAAGAACATCATCGTAATTTCTAAGAAAATGATTAAATACATATGCGTGCAATAACAAATTTAGGAAGCAGACAATTAACGTTTTTTTATATAATTTTTTCAAAAAGAAAGACTTGTCGACAAAAATTATTAATTTTCTAAATTTTTTTATCTATGTTCATTACGTTTTCGCATTTCGTCAGTTGATGATATTTATGAAGAAAGTCGTCGATATCGACATACTACTTTGTTTTTAGACAATATTTCTTAAACAAAAGGTAAAAATAAAATTTTAAAAATATAAGTACAAACTAAAAAGTGTCTTCTATCAGTATAAGCAGTTTTTATAATACTATTTGCAATTTTGCAATAATTAATTTTTTCGTAAGATAAACAAAAATGAGCGTCTGATAAAATAGGCTCCAAAACTGACCCAGTAGACAGTGATGCTATTCCTATTCCTTTTCTTTTTCAGGAATTATTATTAAAATACCTACAAGTGAATGTATATAAGATTTTCCAGAATCTTTTCACTTCGTTATAAAACATTTTTTTAAATTAATATGCATATTTACTTTATGCTGTTCTGTAAGATGCAAATATGTAATGCGATAGGTTTTCAAGAGTTTTTCGATATATGCACGATTGCCTTCAGCTTCAATAAAGCTATTTGACACTATAAAGCAACATTATAAAGATTAAGTTAGCTAATGGTCTATTTTAGACAGATGTGTGACAGTTTATGCTTACCCAAATTTTAAATTCAAAATCGTATTATAAAAAACTAGAAAAGAGAAAACATAATATAAATAAAACTGATTAAAAAAACCATAAGCATTTAAAACAACATAATATTATTAATAATATAGTCACTATTGTTTTTAAACTATGCAGTTTTTAAAAGTAAGAATTTTATTTCCGCATTCGTAGAATTTGTTTTTTTAGCTGATTTGGTATAAAAACAAGCCACAAATATACGAATTATGAGTCGTACTTCTTTAATTAACTAAACAGATCATGATTTTATTAGTATTAATAAAGTGCAATAGTTAGTTTATGAGAAATAAGGAGATGTCGCTTTAGGAGACCTACGTCAGTATCGGTGACTTTTCTTAATACTTTTTTCGTTTAAAGTCACGATTTTCAAAGGCATGTAAGGAACAATAATGGAGAACGGCATGGAACTGAGGAGGATCACCAATATATCAACATACGACGAACAAGGAGAAAAAAAATTTAAAAAAAATTAAAAATTAAAAAGTTTGTCACTTAATAGTTTGTCTTAAATTTAATTTTTAAACAATTTTAGTATTGAATTTTTAAAAAATGCCATCTTTTATCATGCTCATGATTAATTAAATGTAATTTTACAACTTAACTTATTTAGTAATATTTCTATTTTTAATTCTTTAACTTTTAATGCTGAAGGAGGGAGAGAGAGAGAGAGAGAGAGAGAGAGAGAGAGAGATGACCGTTATGTGCCGCACGACAGTCTACGGGACTGAAGAGTCCGGAAACCATAGCCAATATATTATACTGAATGGGATACTCAGCTATGTGCTAGTAACAAGGTCACGGTCAGTATCACTCTGCTCTTCGTCGGAGAACATCGTTCACGGACAGAATAATTTTGTTAAAGTATGTAAAAATTTAGCTAGATACAGAGAATCTGAAATTATTTTGTCAGACTATCAAAATAATTAGTAAGATACTCAAGTACGATGAGTAATGTAAAAAAGCAAAAGATTTTTGACATTCTAATAACCATCTTGAGCGTACTACGTAATATTATTTTGCTGTCAACAAAATTACTTTCAGACCTATATTTAACTATTTTTAGATACTTCAGCAAAATTGTTCTTTCTGTGTTCGGATGTTCTATTTTTTTCGTTTTTTATCAGTCTGAAGTTTCCATACTCGCAATCTGCTCGCATTTATCGGTATTTTTCAACAAACAAGTTCCACTTCAATATTTCGAAATAAAATACGAATAAAAGAAGATTTTCTTGTATTTTTCAGAACTAATTAAAATTCTCTAAATGTGCTTAAAATATATCTGTAAATGTGATAACAAGTATAATATTCACTTCGATGTCTTTGAACTTACAACGTGTAAAAATGCATGCAAACAGATTGACTTTGATAAAACCTGAATAAGAAACAAGATAAGTGGATGATTTAAGGAAACTCTCATAAATAATCTCGCTTAGTGGAAGCAAATAAATTTGCATTGTAAATTATTTTTTTTTTCGCTCATAATAACACGAATGTTTTTATTAAAATTATATAATTGTTTTTTCCAATTTTTTTCACATTACTGCATGATGTAATTCAATTGAAATACTATTCTTTGTTTATTGTTATGATAATAAATTCAATGATTAAAGAATAGAGATTATTTAATACGAAATATATACGTTAAAATCTATCTATTTTTACATTTACTTAAAAAAGAATTCATACTCTCTGATAAAATTTATGGTAATTAGAAGTTCAAAATACAGATCAAAATAACAAAAAGTTAATAACAAAAAGTAATTAATATTTTTAAATTAACGGCTAAAAAACGGATTGAATAACGCATGAATAATATTCCAACTTGTACAAGAAAGTCTTATTCGTAGGACAAGAGACACCAGTTAAAAAAATCTATTTTCTCTTAGTAAGTTGTATTTTGCAAATACAGTATTTTTGACTTAATTTTAGAAAAATATGAAATGTAAAACATAAAAAATAAATTGCATTACAAACAACAATTTTCTTCTTCTGTTTTTCCTGAAGAAAAATATCGCAAGTTATGAAATATCCTACATATAAAGCAATATGTTTAACATATTTACAAAAGGCATAAAGTATTTATAAATGTAAAAATCTGGTAACTATTCTTTATCATCTCTACTTAACAACCTTCCTTGTGAAAATATGGAATCGTAATAATGGAAATATTGTAAGTTGTTACAATTTTAATATTTTGATCTGTATTTTGAACTTTTATTTACTATGAATTTTATCAGAGAGTACGAATTTTTTTTTTAAGTAAATGTAAAAGTAGATAAATTTTAATACATGTATACATTTCGTATTAAATAATCCCAATTCTTTAATCACTGAACTTATTATCATAACATTAAACAAATTGATATTTCAATTAGATTACATCATGCAGTAAAGTCATAGTGGAAAAAACAATTGCATAATTTTAATAGAAACATCGCATTATCATGAACGGAAGGATATATAATTTACAATGTAAATTTATTTGTTCTTGCTGAAAATAACAATATTTAAATGTCGTGCATAATTTCCATAAAATTTTTTAAAAAATAAAATAGCGCATCGTACTTGATTCATGTATATAAGTTAGAACACTCCTTAGCATTAAATTGAAAATTACTTTCATTTAAAAATTACTGATCAGACATAATTTTGCTTCTCCTGGAAAGAAAAAGATTGCGTCTTCTGGCAGCAAAGAATTACATAGTACGCGCGAATTCTCGGATACTCTGCGTAATAAGTTTTTTTTCTCATTATTCTAGAATAGTGGAAACTTCTATGACGTATGCGTTTTCCACCGTTTTGCAGGGAGTAGATCAATGTAATTTTCCTTTTTAAATTGCTTAGTTAATTCATTTATTTTGTATTTTTAACACAAGCAATATTTCATATTTTTGCGATTTCTAACTTTTATTTATAATTCAGTCTCTGAATTTCTCTCTCTCTCTTTAATTTCATTATGTTTCTAGTATATTAATAATATACATATATTACAAAGTTCATAATAAGTGTCACGTGTCATTATTGATTCCCAAAAAGAAATCAGATTTTGTAAATAAATAAACGTACATTTACAAACTTTTAATATAACATAATATCTACATCAATCTGTTTATCTGATATCGTCATCATGAATATGATCAAAAAGCGTCATTGGTCACTTGTCATAACGTGATTTTTGCGACACTGTCAAACTGATAAAATAAAACTGATGAAATTGTTTGACAATAGGGAATTGAAGAACTCACAAAATAATTGTGAATGCACAAAATTCGCTTGAAATTACTTAACAGATTTGAAAGTTCCATGAGTAATTGATATTCATTTCGCATTGTCATACTGCTCAGACCAAGCTACGTAGCTTCCTCTTTGTCAATTTCTAACGTGATGGTTGCCAAGCTATCGGTTTTATTTCGACAGTATAGCGTAGTGGTTTGGTTCGGTTAGATGTTTCCTAGAAAATTCTTCAATTCTCTTAATTGAATAAAAAGAGAATGAATAATACTATTATTTACACTGTGCATACAAAAAAATATTTTTTGAGGAAGTGATAATGCCGCTACGTGGTAAACAAAGAAATTTTTGATAAAGGATTTGTTTTTTTATAAAGAGTTACGTTTATAATTATTAGTAAATTGCTTATTAGTAAGAGAGAGTTAAGGCCGAAACATTTATGTATTTAATTATGTGAAATTAGATTACAATGTTTTGTAATCAAATATAATCAATCGCTAACGATTTCTGGCGTTCGTGGTGTATGCCCTTTTCGTTTTTAAATTTCGACCATGTATTGACATTTATTGTTTAAAAATAATCTTAGAAATTACTTATTATACTAATAAATAATAAGGAGTATTCAAGCTTACACAAGATCTTTTTCCCAGAAAATCTATTTAAATCTGTTATATATAAAAATGTATATATTGAGAAAAAAATGAAATTATAAAAATACATTTTTTTAATATCTTTTTCTTTAATTTTACAGAAATTAAAAAAATTGTATATGTGTACTTATTATTTCTTATTTGATATTTCTTATTTTAATATATTATATTATTAGGTGTTGGAATTAATTCGTAGCGTTTTACAAGAGATGGCACAAGCAGTACACTATTTCGTTGTTACCTATAGTTCTGTATACATTGTAAACATCTATCATAGGACGTCATTTGCCGTACATAACCTTTCTTGAAATCATAAATAACAATACTGTATAATTCATTGAATATGTCAAAATTTGTGCCAGATAAAGTGTTTTTGCGGGGAGTTTTGCTTCATTACTTTAATATGAACAAAAGTGCAGCTGAAGCTCATCGTATTTTAGTGGATGTGTATAGTGAACATGCTCTGGCTGAGCAAACGTGTAGGAAGTGGTTTGCACGTTTTAAAGCTGGTGATTTCGACTTGGATGACAAGGAGCGACCTGGTCAGCCGAAAAAATTTGAAGATAACGATTTGCAGGCACTGCTCAATGAAAACTCATGTCAAACACTTAAAGAATTATCTACGTCATTGGAAGTTGACTTCTCAACAATAGGAAAACGTCTTAAAAGTTTGGGCATGATCCAGAAGGAAGGACATTGGGTCCCATATGAATTGAAACCAAGGGATATTGAGAGACGTTTTCTCACGTGCGAACTGCTGCTTCAACGGCAGAAAAGAAAAGGTTTTTTGCATCGGATTGTTACCGGTGACGAAAAGTGGATCCATTATGACAATCCAAAGCGCAGAAAGTCATGGGTTAAGCCCGGCGAACCATCAACATCAGTGGCAAAGCCCAATATCCATGGCTCAAAGCTCCTGCTCTGTATTTGGTGGGATCAGAAGGGTGTCATATACTACGAACTGCTAAAACCGCATGAAACCGTTACTGGAGATCTCTACCGACGGCAACTGATGCGCTTGAGCCGTGCATTGAAGCAAAAACAGTCGGAATACTTCGAAAGACACGATAAAGTCATCTTGCTGCACGACAATGCTCGCCCACACGTTGCAAAACCGGTAAAAACATACCTGGAAACACTTAAATGGGAAGTGCTACCGCACCCGCTGTATTCTCCTGATATTGCACCTAGCGACTACCACTTGTTTCGATCATTAGCTCATAGCTTGTGCGAGCAGAAGTTCACATCTTACGAAGATTGTACAAAATGGTTCGATTCCTGGATTTCATCTAAAGATGAACAGTTCTTCCGACGCGGTATTCATTCACTGCCCGAAAGATGGTCAAAAGTAGTAGAAAGTGATGGGAAGTACTTTCATTAATGTATTTTTTAATGCTCATGTGAAATAAATAACATTCTTTCATTTAAAAAACGCTACGAATTAATTCCAACACCTAATATAAGAAAAAGATATTAAAAAAATGTATTTTTATAATTTCATTTTTCTTTTAATCAAAAATCCGTAAAAATTGCGTGTCGCAATCATTACTTTTTTATTTTTGCGAAAAAGAAAAGAAATTACTGAGTGGTCTCGGCTTGTCCTCGGCGTATAGTTAATAAAATTTCACATACACTTGTCGCGAAACATTATCATGTTTGTTCAATAATATAATAAGAAAATAAATGGAGCATAATGAAATTAGTACATTTATTAATTCGTGCATGCCATAAATTTTATTTCTTCAGTAAGAAACATCGTGAGAAAATAAAATGGGCATCGAAAGCTTTATGACAGAAAGTTTAACGTCAGCATCAACTGGAGGATTTTCATTGCTCTTTCCGATTCTTGCTGCGGCGCTTGCCTATTTTCAATATGAAGTTCTAGATAATGAAGCACCACCAATCAACGTACCGTCAGAGATGCTATTATCCTCGTACCATTTTATAGTGATAGGTGGTGGTAGTGCAGGTATGTCCAAACTCTCGTTATTTTGTATGAGCGCAATATGTAATATAAACATAAATATCTCCTTTCTCTGTCATTCCTTCGTTTTCTTTTTGCATCAGGAGCCGTAGTTGCCAGCCGTCTATCCGAAATTGAGGATTGGAACGTGTTGTTGTTGGAAGCGGGAGGTGACGAACCTGAGATCTCAGACGTACCCCTTTTGGCCGGATACCTTCAACTAAGTCAGTTGGATTGGCAATACAAGACTGAGGCACAGGATGATGCCTGTCTAGGTATATGATTTTTCTGTTGTTCCTCCGTCAGTCTTTCTTTATCCTTAAATCACTCAAACAATATCTTTTTGTTTCTTTCTGTAGTCAAATTTCTTCTTTACTTATTATTAAATTTTTGTAGCGATGGAGAACAACCGTTGTAATTGGCCCCGAGGTAAAGTTTTAGGTGGAAGCAGTGTGCTCAACTATATGCTCTATTTAAGAGGTAACAAGCGAGATTACGACATTTGGGAACAGCAAGGTAATCCTGGCTGGGGTTACCGTGATATCCTACATTACTTTAAGAAATCCGAAGATAATCAAAATCCTTACTTAATTCACACGCCGTATCACGCGAAAGACGGATATTTGACGGTGCAGGAAGCACCATGGCACACACCCCTAGCGGCAGCCTTTGTTCAGGCTGGTGAAGAGATGGGATACGAAAATCGTGATATCAACGGCGAGTTTCAAACCGGTTTCATGGTCGCCCAGGGTACTATTAGGCGTGGCAGTCGTTGCTCCAGTGCAAAGGCTTTTCTTAGGCCGGCCAGATTTAGGGAGAATCTACATGTGGCGATGCACACGCACGCAACCAAAGTGCTGATACATCCTAAAACAAAGCACATTTACGGAGTAGAATTCGTCAGGGACAACAAGGTCTTTCGCGTGCGCGCAAAGAACGAAGTGATCGTATCCGGCGGGGCGATAAATTCGCCGCAATTATTAATGTTATCAGGAATCGGGCCAAAGGACCATTTGCGAGAGCTCGGTATTCCAGTGATTCAAGATAGCAAGGTTAGTGCAAAAATTTTTTTGTGCAAAATTTTTTAGTTTCTCTTTTTCTCTCTCTCTCGCTCTCTCTCTCTCTTTCTCTTTCTCTTTCTTTCAGATCTCTACACATCTCTATCGTTACACTTTATTACAATAAATAAAGTCATAAAACTTTCAAAATCATATATGAGATAATACAAATCAGTCAAATTTTCAAGCAATCTCCGTTTCATTTATTCATACAATTTGTTCCCGCGTCACCAGGTAGGCAGCAATTTGCAGGATCATATTGGCTTGGGTGGACTCACGTTCATGGTTAATCAAAAGATTTCTATGGTGGAAAAACGGCTGCAAAGCTTGCAGACGGTGATGCAATACGTTGCGCTGGGCACCGGACCTCTGACAGTGCTCGGAGGCGTCGAGGGTATCGCCTTCATCAACACTAAATACGCAAACGCTTCGCTGGATTTTCCCGACATTGAGCTGCATTTCGTTTCCGGCTCGACGAATTCGGATGGTGGCAAAAAACTGAGGAAAGTGCATGGACTAACGAAAAAGTTCTACGACGCTGTTTTCGGACCAATCAACGACCAGGACACGTGGAGCGTAATTCCTATGTTGCTACGACCAAAGAGTCGCGGTGTAATCAAATTGCGCAGTAAAAATCCATTCGATTATCCTCTCATTTATCCAAATTACTTCAAAGAAACGGAAGATATCGCCACTTTGATTGAAGGAGTGAAAATCAGTGTGGCCTTGAGCAAGACTGATACCTTCAAGCGATTCGGAAGTGAGCTCAACTCGCATCAGTTTCCAGGATGCAAACATATACCCATGTATACTGATTCTTATTGGGAATGCATGATCAGATATTATAGTGCCACGATTTATCATCCAGTTGGCACGTGCAAGATGGGACCTTACTGGGATCCCGAGGCTGTCGTCGATCCACAACTCAGAGTCTACGGCGTGACTGGGCTGCGCGTGATCGATGCGTCGATCATGCCCAATCTTGTGAGCGGAAACACGAATGGGCCAGCAATCATGATAGGCAAGTAGAGATAGAGATACATTATTAATTATTATTTTTTTAATATTTATTATTGTTATATCAGCTTGATCAAAAAGTTTCCGGAAGAGATCACCAGGTGATGCTCTGAGTCAGCTGATTTGAGTTCTTTTTTTTTGGCTAGGTTACCACATTTATCATTGACATTTCCATCAAATTTTATCGCCATAGCTTGACATTTGTAAAAATTACGCCGTCTTGAGTACATCTACCTCTGCGCGTGTTTTCGATTTTTTACAGTTTTAAAAATGGAGTTGAATTTGCAACAACGAGTTTGTATTAAATTTTGCGTTAAAAATGGATTCAATGGTGCGAAAACCTTGGGAATGTTGGGAAACTGTTTCGGCAGTGATGTTCTAAAGAAAACAACCGTTTACGAGTGGCATGAACGCTTCAGAAGTGGTCGTGAATCCGTCGAGGATAACGAACGCAGTGGCAGGCCGTCGACATCGAAAACCGACGAAAACATCAATAAAGTGAGAGAAAGTGTTGGCCAATAACCGCAAATTAACTATCAGAGAGCTGGCAGAGGACTTAAACATTGCTTTTGGATCCGTTCAGGACATTGTAGTTAATGATTTGGGTTTGCGCCGTGTTGCTGCAAAGTTGGTCCCCAAATGAGCCAAGACCAAAAAAACCACGTCGTTTTCAGTCGAAAAAGAAAGTGATGCTCACGGTTTTCATGGATTACAACGGTATTCTACATCACGAATTTTTGTCAAAAGGTCAGACAGTTAATAAGGAGTATTATTTGGGCGTTATGAGACGTTTGCGTGAAGCAATTCGCCAAAAAAGAAAGGATTTGTGGGTAAACAACTCGTGGATTTTGCACCA